GGCCATCTACGGCTTGAGCAGCTGCAAGTGCATGCCAACTAAGAGCGTATTCATCGCGTGTTCCTGCAGAATGGTTTCAATGTTGCGGAGGCGACCAGTGTGTCTACGTCAAGATTGGCGTGAGGAACATTTCTGCGCGAGCGAAACGCACCGATTGATGCAAACAACCAGGTGAGTTGCGTTAACGATAACGTTTTACATTTAGCTGTCCTATGTACATTAAATCGGGCACGCTAGCCAGCGCTTTTTGTAGGGACTTTCCAATATTTTTTTTAATTCACCTGGCACTCACCCACTGTCACGGTGCAGGTTGGCGACCGTGTGTACTTGAGCACCAAACACTTGGACCCCAAGCACACTGGTCTGCCAGCATCCACTAAGTTCCGTCCGAAGTGGATTGGACCTTACTCTGTTGTGCGGAAGATACACACCCATGCTTACGAGCTTAACATTCAAGCTGACAACAAGCTTCACCTAGTATTCAATACGGGTTCGCTGAAGCCGTACAACGAGTCGACACGCTTGTCGCGACCCAACGAGGTTGTACTGGCTGATGAAAGTATCGGCCAGATCGTCAAACGCTTGGTGAAGAAGAGGACACACAAGCGATGGACCCAATTCCTTGTGGAGTGGGTGGGAAAAGAGAAACAGACCTGGAACCGGTTGAAAACTTGTCACAAGTCCCAGATCTAATCGTAGAGTTTGAGGCTGCAAGGCGCAAGAAACGAAAGAGAAGATGAAGTAAAATCAACTTAAGGGGGGCTCAAAGACCTACATGTATTCCCGTACTACATCCCCTCCAAGTTGAAGCTACTGCTGCATCAAGCGTCTCTTCCGGTTACGCGCCGTCTTCGAAGTGCGTTTGCCGTGACGACACACGTACCCAAGCTGAAGCTGAACACGACTAATCCACTTTACACTCTCAATCCAAAGGTAGTTCGAGAGAGGAGACACTTCCATCGGTGGATCGTGGTCAGCCGAGTACCCATCAAGCTCGACCAGGCGAGCGTTAGGACCAGTATTCACCACGACGAAACAGTGACCGATGTCATCCTGGCCCGCGCTCACCAAGTACGTACCCGGAACCAAGGCTTCAAAGAAGTGGTTCAGAGTCGCAACACTCCCGATGGATTCATGAAGAATATTGGGAAGCATGATGCCGTAGTCCAACGGAACACGTTGGCGCTGAAGCGTTTTCCAGAACTCCGTGACGTCTTCGCGAGATACGCCAAACGCAATCGCCTCGGGACGAGTTTTTTCATACTCCTTCCACATCTCCATGGTAACTAGATTGGGCTGACCAAGATAGTACAGCGCGCAGCGGAGCGCATCCATGAACCACGTACCAGCTTCGGAAGCACTAGCACGAACGTCGTACCATCCCATGAATGTTATTTCAGAACCCGAAGCCTTCCACTCGTCGACATTTTGCATCATGTACCGCGTCGTTTGGGGATGGAGCAACAGGAGCCCGTACAGGCGACGATGGAGCAACAGGAGCCCGTACAGGCGACGAGGGAGCAACAGAAGCCCGTACAGGCGACGAGGGAACAACGGGAGCCCGTACAGGTGATGGTGGAGTTACAGCACCAGCAGGAGCATCGACCATGGCAGCCGGAACAGCAGGGACTGCAGCAGGAGCAGGCGGCGTCGGCGAGCGAGGCGAGGGAGCGGCGGAAGGCGAGCTAGTGGCAGCAGCAGCAGACGCAGAAGGCACAGCCATCCCCCAGGACGGACCTATTCAAGCCCCAAGTAAACAGGCCCGCACAGGGCAGGTGTGGGTAAACGCGGGGTCGGACTAATCCGTCGGGGAACGGCACCTCTGGCCTTCAGCGCAATTTCGGGAATGGCAAGACTGAGGGGACGCGCACGCCAGAGGGAGAGTGAGTGTATCAGATATGATAGGTGTAGAGTTTCAGCCAATCAGAGGCAGGCTCAGTTTAACATAGATTCAGTATGTAATACAAAAAGACAGATGTAGGGCGGCCGTGGAACCTTCGAGAAGGTTCTAGAAGGTTCCATCCGCCTGAACTGCGGGGGCGGCACTTCTCGTTTCGCGCGCCCTCCCCCAAGCTAGCGTTTCCCGAAATAGCAACAGTGATTATCGAGAGTGAATCGGAAATTGCACCACCGAGTTAGGTGAAGAGGGCCAGTGCATCATAGAAAAATACAATTTTACGCAATTCATTTGCCAGTTCCCAACGGTTGTATTGCACATTTTCTATTGGCAGCGTAGTTTTTTTCTTTACAAACAGCATTTTCGAAACCTTTGGAAACTATAAACATGCCGAGCGCTCACGTACTGAATCTTTATATATCTCTGGCTTATATTCGACGACAACGACGCTCATGCAAGAAGAAACCCGGTGGTTCGCAGCCTGGCAGAAGCCCCAACGTCGAACGAGATCACGTAGCTGCCTACAGCCGTTTCTGTAAAGTGTATTTTAAAGAGACCCATGTACACTGACGAGAAGTTTAGACGACGTTTTCGTATGAGCAAGACCTTGTTTTTATCTATTGTAGATGCTATTGGAAGCTACAACCCTTATTTTACGTGGAAACAGGACTGTACTTGAAAAAGGGTGTACATACTGATATTAAAGTCACAGCAGCTTTGAGAATGCTAGCTTATGGTTGTTCGGCCGATTCATTGGATGAGACGTTTTGGATGGGTAAATCACAAGCCCTGGATAAGTTGACTGAAGCTGTAGTAAAACTTTCTGGACCTCACCATCTACGTCTTCCAACAAAAGAAGACATGAAATCAATTTTGGAGATTAATGGCATGTTGGGATCCATAGACTGTATGAAGTGGCAATGGAAAAACCGTCCTAGCTCCTGGTGAGGAGCGCCTCTATAAAGGCAACTGTCATTTTGGAAGCCATCGCTACTGCTGATTTGCATATTTGGCATGCTTTTATTGGTATGCCAGGTAGCAATAACGACATCAATGTGCTCGATGCCGCCATTAATTGCCGAGCACGTAGATGATAGTGTACCTCAATTTTCGTACGAGATATGTGGCTCTACCTACGACTTTTCTTACGGTGTAGCGGACGGTATCTATCCAGATTGGAAGTGTTTTGTAAAACTCATCTCGGCACCCGCAGACGAGAAGCAGCAGGAATTTGCATCGTGCCAGGAAGCACTTCGTAAGGATGTGGAACGTGCATTTGGAGTCTTACAATCTCGGTTTGCAGTTGTGGCTAGACCTGCATGGATTCGATTGTCGTTGAGAAAACAGGTCGGTCACGGTCTTTGATCCACTTCAAGCATCTAAATTCAAGTACTACAGCATTGGGACGTGGTGCTATGAGACCTGTTTGGTGAGATTTGCCGACTTGTGACGGGCAAGAAGGAAACTAAGTCGCGGCAGCCGGACGTAGCAAGCTGCGTTGTCATGGTGCTGATGTTCTTTAAGTGCTGCATTTTGCGGAATTGAGATGCCTCGCAAGCCAACTCCAGTGCTTCTTCGATTCACGAGACTGCGTTATCTACTGAAGCGTATTCCCGACATTTTCGCACGGAGATGTACATTAGGAAGCACTTCCTCGCTCATTCCTGTAAAACGCGCTTGTGAGCACATTTCGACACTTGTAGTCGCCCTCCTCACCGCACATGGTAATGTACGTAGACTGATCTCTGTTTGCCGGAAAATCATCATCATCTGTCCATTCAAGCAACAGCACATCCCACCTCAGAATCTCAACATTTATTTTAAAAAATGTATGTGAATATAAAAGCCCTCTTTCTGGTTTCGGTTGGTGCACTCCTTAGGTAACGAGACGGGCCCACTTTAATGCAGTCCACTCAGTGCCCTTAAATTATAAATACACAGAAGGCGCTCTAAGCTTAGGGCCTGGGGTATAGAATCCAAATAATTCTCATTTACATGTATCTCCAAGAATGAGAGTTCAATGAGAACTACATTGTATTACACATTTCGTTCAAGTTAATGTATCGGTGTTGTTGAGGTTTCTGTCAGCTAGGATGTTGATGATCGTCAGTAGTTCCGTCAGCTCAGCATTCATTTTTTCAATGTTGAGCTGAAGCGCTCGAAGATCTGAGCGTTTGATGTCACCGTCGCTGTAATTGGACGTGTTTCTCGCCCGGAGGTATTGACGCACGGCTGCGACGATAAGAAGCAAGTGACGGTCGATGTCCCTCATGAGCATCAAATTTCCACAACCTGTTGACACAAAGCCAGGGATCCCAATACGAGCGGCACACTCGACACGTTCAGGACTCTGCGTCCTCTCCGCCTGCCCGATAATGGCAGCTACCATCGATGAGAGATCGTTCTGCGATGCAGTGATGCCGGATGAGACCACCTTGAGCTCCCGATGAACCCCTTCATGAGGGGTACAGTTTCCTTCGCTTGGTAGAAAAAAAAGCGAAAAGTTTTGTTCCCCGCTAGTAACTTCGAGTGCTCGTTGACGGCGAGCGATGGCAGCAACACATCGTAACAAGTGCAGATCAATATCTTGAAGCAGTTGTGCGCGCCAACCTCGAGCTGTCAGAGCTGCTTCGTACGCTCCAAACTCCACCAAGTGGCCACAACCATCAGCAATGACGAAAGGAATTTTCTCCTCTTTCACGCGACACTCAGTCGCTGATGCTGCAGGTTTTCCGTCAACTCTTTTGCATGGCTTTTGCACTTGACGTTTGGCTGGCTTTGCTTTCTTCCCGCTAGCAGTTGAAAGATTCTTCCGACGTTTTCGCTTTGGCTGCTCGGGATCTGACGCTGACATTGGTGTATCGGAAGACGCCTGTAATAACTCACCGGAGTTTCCGATTGTTTGTGCATTATTCGTCCGCGCGTCAAATTCGTTTTGATGCACTGGAGGAGGTCGTTGGTCTAGGATTTCGAAGTCCGACTCAGTCGAATAGCCTTCCTCAGGCAGCAAGTAGTGCAATCCACCTGAAAGATTAAGCTTCAGTAACATCTCCGTAAGTACACTATTTACTAAAGCAGCACTCACCTTTTTCCAGAATGTAAGCGTATAGTTCGCCCTCCCCTACAAAGAAATCTTCGCCTTGTACAGCCACCTCGCCTTTGGCTTTGCCTCCTGGGATGTAGTATAGTTTGTGTTCCTGAAGAGCCTTGGGGTCGCACGCCTCCCAGCCCCGGTCTTTGAGGATGCTCACTACTTCTTTTCCTCGGAGACCGATCTTCTGAAGCAGTTCGGAAGGCTTTCCGAACGGGTGAGGATTGCGTCGTCGGTCTCGTGATGATTCTGCAGGATGTCGGGGGACGTCCGAGACGACATTTTTGTCCTGTGTCTCTTGACGAGGATTCAGGATCGACGCGAACGAAAACGACTCCGTCATGTGAGAAAGCCAAGATCGATGTCAAATTCGTGCCGTGCTTTTCTGAGTATGAGAAAGGAAGTGAGAAAGGAATTGTTCGACTATACCACTACATGCGTTTGAAGGTAGACCGTACCATTTATTTTGACCGGAAACAACTTTTTATTATACTGGTACCCCAGCAGAGCGTGAATTAAGTTATCATACGATTAAAAATAGATACATAGTAACCTTCAGATCGGAGCATCCAACTCGAAGAAGCTGCTTAAGAATGGCATTTTAGGTAGCATCATCCTGTATGAAATCATCAGATTAGTGAGGATCAAATACCATCCGACACAAGAACCGTCGTAGACTGTACGACGACTGCTTCTAACTAATCAATTGCTACTACCAGAAAGAAACACTTTAAAAAAACAAAATTAAAGTAGGAAATCATATCATAAAAGCACTCGGCAATGCATGTAGAACAATTTTATCTCAAAATCGACCTGCAGTTATAATAGGCCATGATCGATTTTAGTTTTTATTAACATGTTAAGTTGCAGTAAGCCCTTCCTTAAGATGAAAGCTAATTACGGGCAATTGCTCAAGGTAGTCTTACCGCAGAATCGCATTGCCATTTCAAGCCTATGTGATGTCGAAGGGATCGATTTAATTCTTCGATCCGAGGAAAATAGGAAAGTGTTGAGAGTCGCTGTGCGTGTATTAAAGCAGTGTTGGCTGTATCGCTCAATATCTTGCAGTATATTCAGCCGGCCTTGTCCACTAGAACGAAACTGGAGGTGCCGATCCCGGAGTCGATGGACTCAGTGTCGGTTGAATCGTCACTTCCAAAAGGCATTTTTTTGTCTCTTGGATCCTCTCGGTATATGACTATAGCTTGTGAAGGCGCTGTCCTCTCTAACGAACGCAATTCTAGCCACCAAACGCGATATATTCGTTCAGATAAGGTTCCACTTTTCTTTAAGCCAAAAGATCGCATCTCTACAAAAGAAAAGTGATCCCTTCTGTTAAAGCAAGCAAAACCGCAATGGCAGAAGTGATGCTTAATTTGCCAACAAAGTGAGTTGAGGTAAAAAAAATGAAAGCTTACATGCGTCTTCGAATCTATCGCTTGGTAGAGCTGGAATCTTGTACGGCACGAAGCCAATCGCCAACTGCTCAGCAGGTCTCCCTAAGCCTTTTTTGTCGTACACATGGTACAATTGTACATCTGGGTGGCAGAGTTGAGCACGATACTCTGCTCTCTCTGTCCCACGTCATAAACCACCAAGTTTGTTAGTTATGATGGAGACGTCTTTCATCCACCCGACAAGGTCTCCGTCGATGACTTCTGCGCAATCTCCTAGACAGCCCTCAAGAACACGCCGACGTGGCGCTGATCCAGCCGACCATCGATCACCTTCGGAGCTGCTGAAAGAGATCGGGATCGCTGGAGCCGAAGTCGTCAAGATTCTCAAAGGACGAGGGTGGGAAGTCAGTGAGCCAAAGGGGTTAGAGGAATACAAACGCTATTACCTCCCAGGGGGAAGAGCTAGAGGCGACGACGCCAATCGAGGCGAAGACTACGTCGTGGGGGAGGGCGAGCTATATGCCTACGTTCTTGACAAAGGTAAATTTATTTCTTAGTGTGTCGCGTGAATGATCATTAACTGTGTAACTTGTAGGAGGTATAAGCTATCTCTTTCCGGGGGCAAGTCAAACTTCAGTACCGAACACGATACAAAGGCGTTCTTCCTCTTGGGAGAAGTCAGTACCTCGAGCGCGGACGACGAGAAATTATGACGAGCCAACGTCCAAGCGATCGACACTCGAGTCTGGCGAAGACACGGACTTAGTCGAGTATTTTTCTGGTGAAAGCGCTAGAAGCACTAGCTCAGCTTCACGCTATCACAAGAAGCGCCGCTCAAAGCAGAAGACTCCGCGGTCAGTTGAAACTGTCATTGTTGTAGACGATAACCACGCAACAGACTTCGTCGCCTCGCAGGATCATCAGGTTAGTGAAGATCAAGTACCAACAGAGACAAGACCGAGATCAGATCGCCGTACAGAAGTGGAAAAGTACGAAATTGCGCTAAAGCTGAACGCTAATTGCGCGCAATTGCTCAAGGACGTGGACTTGAATCTACTGCGGTCAGTGGCTGAAATCGCTTTCCGACAGGCAGGACTCAAGACGTCAGAGAACGACGACAGCCATCAGCGTCTTGGTGAGCTACAGAGAAATGCTGAGCGGATCCAAGTGGCAAGAAATTGCCTCTCGTACACGATCGCAGCAATCGTCGACCAGTGCGACAGTTCGCCCAACGCTGACGCCGTTGACTTCGGGGTCGATATCCCCAGTTTCGTGTCCACTGGCCAAGGTCGGTTAAATCTACTGCAAGATATCGAGCGATACCTTCTCCGCGTTGGCCAAACACTGCGTCAATACACGTTCAGCGACCCCCACGCGTCGGCGTATCTCTCAGATCGAAGCGTTGAAGCAACAGACTTGCGACCTTTTCAACGACACATGGACAAAACTACGAGAGAACTACTTGAGCTGACCATGAGAATCTGCGGCAAACAAGGCAACCCTACGGCCAGATCCACGATCTAGGCCCCGGATCCATAACATTCCACCAATGCTCGCCGGGGATAAACCAGATGCGTAGCCACGTTATGAAGATGTGACATCTTCGACATCTTAGATGTCGAAAAAATAGGAAGTTCAAGTAGGATAATTTACATAGTATTACAGTAGAAGTACATATATGTACTATAATATGTACTAGAAATGGAGTAAGAGTGCTAGATATTATCTAGCACTCTTACTTTATTTCTAAACCACTGTAAGTAGTATTGATACTTTTAAATAGTTGTTCTCATATCTAGCGACTGATACTTGACGCAACTCTTAACAAAGAATACGTGTGTGGTTTCGTTACATGTATTTCTACTTGGGCTTTGGAGCGTAAAAACCCTCACTCGTAAGCTTTACTGCTCCTTAGGAGCTTTGACGACGCCCACCTGCGCGGGGCGAATGACCCGTTCATTGAGCAGGTAACCCGTCTTCATGAGCTGTCCAATCGATCCTGCCTCCTTAGTGGCGTCCTCGTACTCGAAGAGCGCGTCGTGTACGTTGGGGTCGAACTTGTCGCCCACAGCGCCCACCTGATTGATCTTGAACTCCCGGAAGACCTTCTGCAGCTGCTGCTCCGTCATGACGACACCTTCGTGCAACATTTCAATGGCGTCCAGCTGCTTCTCCGGCTGCAGCGTCGCCACGTCGATGCTCTCGTGGGCGCGCTTGAGGTTGTCCGACACGTCCAGCAGCGCCTTGGCGAACTTGGAGATGGCGAATTCGCGCGCGTTGTTCACGTCCACACGCGAGATGCGACGCACATTCTCGGCGTCGGCTAGAGCGCGCAGTAGACGGTCATTCATGTCCTTATTCTGCGTCGTGAGCTCCTCCACTTGCTTCTGCAGCTTTTCAGCATCGCTCAGAGGCGGCTCCTCCTCGGCCTCGGTCTTAGCGGCCGTTTCTTCGGCCGGTTTCTCATCAGCGAAGCGCGCAGGAGTCTGACTAACACGGCGCAGCTGCACGCGGGACGCACGGGCGACGGCGCTAGAGAGGACGACACGGCGGAGCATGATGCAGGTGGGCAATTAAGTGATTGACTGTGGGCCACAGACTGACGCTCTGCAAAGCGTAGTGGATTTGACAGGGTTGAACATTGTTCTAGAAAGTTTGCTGCTACTGCATACACTTCTCGTCAATTATTGAATTTCCAGCTGCGACTTTAGCAATAATTACCAATATATTTACGGGATTCGATTTGAGTACTGTCTGGTTTTTGAGGTGGGACTTTCAGAAACGACCATTTGGTAGCAGCACGTGAGGCTCGAACGGGACATCCGGCAGACTGTCATCGTCATCGGTCGTCTCTTCCGTCTCGGAGCTGCGTGTTGTCCGCTTGGTGCGATATTTGCGTTCGTAGAAAAGCATGTACGCACAGCTTTTGAGAACTTCGGCCACTGAGGCTTCGCGTACATTGTCATCCGACACGAAGAACCACTGCGAGGGACTGGCGCGACGATAAGCCGTGAAGTGGCCACAGCGCTCATTACCGTGATGGAGGATGACGGCAGTCAAGTCATATAGAAGATACTGCTGCTTTAGGGTTTCACCAACAAAAGAGGAAATCGATGCTCGAGGTCGCCGTATGGAAGTCGATCCGTTGCTTCCTTTTGACTCTGCGCCAGCACTGGTCTTGTACTGGCAATAGTCGTCCATATCGAGCTCCAAAGGGAACTCGACATACGTCTCGAGCTTGACTGCTCCCCCAGTCCTCATGTAAACTTTCCGATTCAAGTGGAAACAAAAGACGTCCGGACTGCGAGAAAACTGCAGCCGCTTGAAGCAGTCGCCACGGCTGCGAGGGATCGGGCGCTCGAGTTGCTCCAAGTCGAAGCTCGTGGACGAGTTGGCCAGCTGCTCGAGTGTGTGGATCCAGCCCTTGAGTTCATGCTGCGCGAGCTCCTGCTCCACGACGTCTCTGTCGCTCATGCCCAACTTGTTCTTCCTCTGTCCCTTGATAGTCTGTGTATACTCCTTCCTTGTAACTTCCAGTTCGTCCACCACACTGCAGTAGCTGCACTCGACGTCTTTTATAACCTCCGCCTCTGTGTACAGCTTTAGTGCATCCATCAGACGTGAGACCTTCTTGTCCCCCGGAGCCACAATCGACAATGATACGTCCAGGAATGGCTGATTATTGAGCGGACGGAAGCGACGGCACCTTGCGCACTGCAGTAAATTGACCTGAAGGCCTTGCAGTGGGTTCCAGCTGCGTTCGTTTACAGCCTGAGTGAGTCGTAGGTCGCTGATAGAGTCGGATGTGGGCACATCATCTCGGGGATTCAAGTCCACGAGGCCGCGGTCCTGTACTCCACAGCGGCGTTGTTCACCCCCTACGAGCTTAAAGAGGAACTGCAGGAGCTCCTGAGCGTCCTGCTGCTTGTTACCGCGGAAAGCGCGCAATTTGCTGGTCAGTTCCGCGTTCAAAATGCGGGGAGCCACTACAACCGGCGTGTCACGAGGCGCCAGAGCCTCCAGACAGTCGCGTAGTGCGCCGGTGAACGCGATGCGACGACGTTCGACGCGTGCACGTCGGTCGATCTCTTCGAGAAATTCGTGCACACTCGGGAGCGACGCTAGCGCCTGCAGGATGGCGTTGAAGAAGCACGTATTGCCCAGGTTCTGCAGCCCAGGCACCGCCATGGCGAAGGCTTGATGGCTAGAAGGGAGACTGAGTTGGTCAAAGGGTTTCAACCAATAAGACGAGAGGCAAATTTTAGCCAGTAGTCATCAAACGAGCATCTATGAAATCTCTATGTTCAATTCAGGCGTCTAGTATGAAGTTATAAAATATGCATGTGTCGGTATGAAAACCTAGTTGCCGCATAGGTCGCTCAGCTCTTGGCCTGCAGCATCTCAAACCATTGACGAAGCGAGTCCGAGAGGATCTCCGGGAGCATCGCCGACGTCGGTAGCAGCACGTAATACGGGAACGGATAGTTCTCCAGATACGGCACCATGCGCACCTTGCCCTTCTCGAACGTCACGCTCTGTGTGTCCAAGATCGACGTCTGTTGGTTGGCTGCACTCTCGTTTTCGGCTGCTCCTTGGTCCACGATAAGCAGCACAATCAGCTGCTGCCGTTCCAATGCCGTCTCGATCAACTTGCGGATACGCACGCGTCCGTCCGAGTCGAAGCGGCCATCCGAGATCAAAAACACAATCTGCGTGAACTCCACCGTGCTGCTAGTAGCTGACGACGCCTGCTTGGCCGTCTCGAGCAGCTGCAAGATCGTATCCAGCGTCTGCACCATGTTGGTCTTCTTCTGCTGGAAGCCGAAGCGGCCGATCAAGCGACTGCCGGCGTCGTCCGTAAACGGCGTGTCGAACGCGTGCAGCAGCTCCAGCTCGTGGCCGAACTTGACCACAGAAAGCTCACCAACCTCCAGCTGCGTCATGCCCTTACACAACGTGGCAAGCGCTTCCAGGGCCAAGCGACCCGCGTGATTGTCAGCCATAGACTCCGAGTCATCGATAGCCAACATCACTTGGTACTGACGCTTGGACGGACGTGTACGACGCAGCCAGATCTTGTCCTTGCGGAACTGACTGGCGATGTACGGGATCACCTTGCGCATGTTGATGCGCTTGCCGGTTCGGAAGTCGCCCTCGAGTTTGGCACGAAGCATGGGCTCAAGAACCAGACGCAGCTGCTCACACAGACGCTGCGAGGCGCCGGCAGTCAACGCCGTGTACTTGGCCCACAGATCCGCACCACGTTCCTGCTCCGACTGCGACGACCAGCTGGCTATGAACGAGTCGAGCTCGTCACGAAGAGCTGCAACCTCATCAGGAGTGAGCAGTTTGACTGCTCTGGCTTCAGCTTTGTCCTCCTCATCCTGCTCCTGCATGCTGTTGGTCAAATCCAAGTCACGCAGACGAGATGGAAGCGCGTGGTCGGCCTGCTCGTCCAGAAGATCGTGCTCTCCCCCTTGAGTGGGGCTTTCCGGCTTGACATCCTCTTCATCCATCGTCTGATCCTTCTCAGCGTTCTCGTTCTCTTCCGCTGCATCTGGATCAGTATTCGGATCTTGCTTGACTGGCTTTGGCTTGTCCTGTTCCTTCTCTTCCATCGACTCCTCGTTCTTCTTCTTGTCTTCTTCGTCGTCGACTTCCATGGCTGTCGCTCCATTCCCAGCGTTCATCTCTTCGTCCTTCTTCTCGACGTTCTCGTCCTCTTCTTCGTCAGAACGAGGCTGGTTCATGATCTGGTTCTCGTCCGCAGCAGCCAGCGCGTGCTCCACGTCCTCCATCTCGTCGTCGTCGTCAACAAACTCGGCAGTTGTCATCTCCGCCGCCTTCTCCTGTTTGTCCGCGCTCTTGTTGTCCGATTCCTTCTCATCCTCATCAATACGATCCACCATCTCCACTCGCTTCTTCCAGTGCTCCTGAGCTTCCTGAGCATTCCGAATACGATTCGGTTCCCGGCGATCACGACGTTTCTCACGAGGACGTTCCTGATCCGGATTGCTGTCGACTTGAGACTGCGGCTTCCCACTCCTGCTTGGCGTCCTGCTCGTTACTGCTGCTCTGCTTCTGCGCACGACTGCTACTGCTGTCGTCATTGCTCTGATCCCTGGTCCTGTTCTTGGGCGTTGGCATCCTCTATTTCCTGGTCCTCCCGTCTCCCTGTTCGTCCGCTTCCAGCTCATCCTGGCCATCCTTAGACTGCGTACCGGCCACAGTAGACGCCGCCTGCTCCTCTTCCGCACTCTCAGGAGTCTCAGTCTGCTCAGCATCTTCCTCCTCCTTCTCCTCAGCTTGCTCTGGCTCGTCTTCCAGACCCCCGCCACCAAGCTGCACGGCATTGTCAACCTCTTCTTCCTCGTTCTCCTCTTCTTCATTCTCGTCCTCTTCAGCTCCACCAGTTTCTTCTCCAGTCAAATCATCGTCAGCCATCTCATCGTCCGGATCGTCCAGCTTGTCCATGTCCTCGTCCGGGTTCTCTCCATCGGCGTCTCCATCGTCCTCGCCGTCATCGCCGTCCTTGTCAAGCTGCATGTCCTCGGGGAGTTCGTCGCCATGTTCTTCTTCCGCTTCGTCCTCTCCGTGGCCTTCTTCTCGCTCCGTCGGGTCCACGTCGTGGTGATCTTCGTACTTGTCTTCAAAGTCGTCATTGACCCCCTCCTCGTCCTCCATCTTCTCGTCGTCGCCGTCATCGCCATCATCTCCGTCGTCTCCACCATCCTCTGCGCTCTTATCGTCTGTCTGGTCAGCTTGAGGCTTCTGCTTGTCCTCTTCCTTCTTTTCAGACTTGTCCTTGTCTTCCTCGTCACCGTCTTTGCCACGCACTTCATCCTCCAGCGCCTCGCCCTCGACCTTGGAGTCTTCCTCAAACTTCTCTTTTTCCTTGTCGATGTTCTCCTCGTCGTCATCCGAGTCGTCGCCCCACATCTTCTCGTCCACCACATTCTCGTCGTCTTGGTCGAACTCGCCCATCTCGCGGTCCAGCTCTTCCTCGTCGTCTTCGTTCTCGTCCTGCTCCTCCTTCTCCTCATCCGGGACGTCCTGCATCGTGCCTTCAAAGTCATTCTGCATCTCCAGCCCCGTGTCTTCCGGTTTCTGGTCAGCCGGAGGCTCAGGCTCCTCCTGTTGGTCTCCCTGCAAGCCCAGTAGTTGTTCTTCATCCTCGATCTCGTTGCTCACGTCCTTCTTGCCTTCGCCTTCGCCCATTCCCGTGCCTTCCACGTCGTCCTGGAACTGCATCTTGCCTGCACCTCCGTCTCCCCCTTCGTCGTTCTTCTCCTCGTCCGTGCGACAGAAGCCGTGCTGAAAAAGGTTTCGGAAGATACGCACCAGCACGAAGTCCAGCTTCATCACACTCTTGTGCGCCACCAAGTAGTCAACCAGAAGCTGGCGACTGATGCCGCGCACGTCGATGAGACTCGGCTCGAAACGCTCCAGAAGCGCCAGTGAGGCTACAAACACGCGCTGCCACTGCTCGGACCGAGTGCTGGTGAGCTGAGTGTACTGAATCTGAAGCAGCTCCAGCAGCTTCGCAAGCTGCGACGCAATGTGGCTCACACGCGAGTCCTTGACCATTGTCGACAGCATCGCAAGTTGGTCACGAAGCGACTGAACTTCGCTGTCCTCATTTTCCTCGCCTTGAGAGGACACTGAAGCAGCCTCCTTGGAAACCTTCGTTAGGTCCTGGATCGACACCAGCACAGTCTCCACCATCTTGTCGTAGTGTTCACTAAAAACCGTCAGCGCTTGTTCACTCTCGCGTTCGTGGTCGGCACTGGACACGAGCGAGTCGCCGTTAGTCTCCTTCAGGGTCTGCTCAAACTTGGCGTCATCACGAACAATGCGGACAAACTCGGCTTGGAAATCTTCAAGGCAATTCGACGTCGTCACAGTGCCAAACGCTGACGAAACAGACGACAGAAGCCCCTGAATTTCGCAGAAGCGAGCAGTGTTCGCCTTGAGCACGTCCACCGCCACAGGCAACTTCTGTGCTTCTGAGCCATCGGTCGCGATCACTGGAGACACACCATACACCCGCCTAGACGGTCGTGCAAACGCCACGATAGCAGCGTCGTCACCTGCATCCTCACTAGCATTCACAGCGCGGTGGGGGATGGCAGGCACACCAAGAGACTGCGTCAGCCCAGCACTTGCAGTGAGCGAGTTCTGAGCAGCATCACAACGCTCAAAAATATGCTGGAAGTGCTGACGGACTTCTGCCACAATTACCGTTGTCTCGGGCAGTTGCTGTAGGATCTGCAACACCAAAATCTCCAGCTCTCGCAGAGAACGACGCAGGGACACGATTGAAGTCTGCTGGAACGACTGCCACTTGCTCGCTGTCTTCGGATCGACCGTCTTGCTAGATTCCAGGTAGTTCTTCTTGAACTCCTTCATCAGCTCCAACGAGGTTAATCCGTCCACGAGCTTCTCGTGACTGAGCGACGTGGCGTGCAGGATCTGGCGCTGCTGCAGCATCGTGAACAGCATATTCTCCGCGTAGCCACTCATGCGTTCGGTCTCACTCGACGATAGATCATGGGAAAAGCTCGTCACGGCAGTGTATCGCAACGAAGCCAGTTGGCCCAGGAATCGGTAATAGTATCCGTCAGCACGCTGCCACAGCCACATCGGAGAGTTCTTCACTGACGCTTCTTCCGTAATCTCCACCTGTTGCACGCCTCCAGTGCGCTTAGCCTTCTTCTTCCTGCTCTGCTTCTTCTTACCCTTCAGACCACGAGCAGTGGGCAAACTTTCGGGATCGAGAGCAGCCTCCAGTTGGTCAACGTGAAGGCAGTTCTCGACATCGGGCACATCCAACTCGAACAATTGCTGGATCTGTTGTTGCTCCGTCGGCAGCTGTAGTCGGTGGTACGCTAAGCCTTGGGCCTTCAACTCGCCGAGCAAGTCGATCAGAGCCTTCTTCTTCGCACCCTTGGGTAATCCCGTAGCCTGTTGAAGCTTAAACATCCGGTAAAAGATGGCTTCACAGAGGTCTTCACACACTTCGCGCACTTGTTGACGGCGTTCCACTTGCTCGTGAGACAGAATGTGCGTCTGGGTGTACTTGGCAATGCGCTTCGAGAGCGTGGGGAGCTTTTCTAAGTACGAAGACTGTCCAGCCATTGCAACGTCGTCGCTTACGGTCGGCATAGTAGTGTGAACCAGTCGCAATACCGGAGGCCTCTCGGACTCCTGCGCTTCCTCCACCTTCAATGTCTTGGGCTTAGTCTTCACGTCCTCAGTGGCCTCTCCCTCAACAGCGTTCTGTTGCTCAGCATCCTTCGGTACCACAACGCTGTCGTCCAGACCTGCCAGCTCCGCCTTGGTGGTATGAATCCCAACAAAGCCTCCTTCCTTCGTGATGCCGCTGTCCGTTGAACCGTCGATCACAGTTTGCATGGACACAGTCAGCACAGCGTCGTAGTTACGCACGAACTTCATCAACTTGCGATGCGATTTCTCAGCAGACTCCGCCAGCGAGTAGTACGTTTGTTCATCCCAGCGACAAATCTTGACGAACTCCACCAGTTTGCGTTGGATCGGAGCCTTTAGACCGCTCCACTGACGCTCCAAGTAGCCCAAATGCTGCGCGTAGTATCGGTACAAATGGTACAACATGTTGGCCAGCGCGTACTTGGAAGACTGGTTAGCAAAGTCAACCGATGAGCCCTGTCGTTCCGACGGACTCCAGAGCTCCATGAACAGCTGGGCACAGAACGAATACACCACTAGCAGTCGAGTCTCGTACTGGCCGATCGGACACGAGCGAATGTACGCGTCCAGCGTCTCGAACAGTCGGGTCATGAACTCTCGCTGCTTCTCCATACTCTCCCGCGCTGCGTCGCTTAGTGCTTGAATGCCAGCTCTGTTCTCGTGAAGCGGAGTAAACAGCCACTTGGAGAGATGGTTCAGGTGAAGCCACTGCAGGTTCTGAGGCTGTGCGCTCTTCTCCTCGACACCAGCCACAGCAGAGTCCGATTCGAACTGCGCAGTGAGCAGTGAGTACATGTTGATCCACGTCTTCTGCGCTGTGAAACGATGTTGCTTCTCCTTGACATACAGCAAGTGTGGCCACGAGTACAATTCGAGTTTTCTCCATCGCGTCACCAAGGCTGAAAGAGCGCCGAGTTCGTCACTGATCGAGTATGCTCGTGCTGCGTACATCTCCCACTCTTGCGCCTTCCGCAGCAAGAGCTCCACACCAGTAAGCGTACGAACTAGCGGGGAGCTGATCTCGAGGTTCCGGATGCGATCAGCAATGAGGACGATTTGTTGCAGGATCGCGTGATCCGGCCACTGAGCCAAGAGCGACTGCACTTTGACCAACAAACGCTGCAGTGGCTCAGCGACCAGTACAACTTCCTTAACCAGCGGGTCACGATGGAAATCGATTCCTCGAATGTAATCGCTGCTGAGCGCCTGGAACGAAGGCACCGCCCCCTTCTTCGCCCCCACACTGCTGCCAAGACGAGCTTGAACCAGCGAGGCAGCGAGAACTCCTGACGACGTCACAGCGCTCTCAATCGCAGTGGACGCCGTCGCATTCAACGACTTGCGTAGCTTCACGGCAAGAGAGAAAGCCCGAGCGAACGTACTGACAATCTCGTCCTTGGTGAGAGCGATCTCAGAGTTGGCTGTCTCGGCATACAACTTGACGTGAGTCTCGCACAGACGCTGCATGATTCTGTCTGTGATCAGCATATCCAAGTCTCCGGTTGCTGACAAACCGTCGCCCTCCGGACCGGCAGCAGCAGACGCTTGCTCTGGACTCAAGAAAGCTTGGAAGTCACGGGTGCTATAGTCCGGGAATTGGTCACGATACTCCTTCTCCAGCAGCTCCTCCTCGGTCTCCAAGTCCAGCTGACGCACCTTGTACTTGAAGAGCTCTTCTTCCTCCTTTCGCTTCTGCTCTTCACGCTCTTTTTGCTCTTGCCACTTGGCCAAGAACATGTCGAAGAGGGTTTTGCTGCTCTCAAGCGCAGTTTCGACCGCAGGCGAGTCCAACACACGGTTCGTACGGGATGTCGTCAACGTCTCGCGGAAAAGGAACTCCATCTTCGCCAGTGCCACGTCCAGCAGCGCCACCTCAGCCTTGCGCTTGTTCGCTACCCCAGCGCCAAATAGAATGGGCGTCGCCTGTGTCCCCACAGTTTGAAGCATCAACTGGATGCCACGCCACGACTGATCCACCGAGTTCACGTTCAGGGAAGACGGGAACTGCACGAGAGAGAGCGCCAGCGTCTCCTTCGGTTGCTGCTTTAGCGATGCTTCCTGGAGCTGCTGAAAGAGCGACCACGTTACCAACGCGACACCTTCCTTCACGCAGTAAATCGCCGCAGCAACAGGCTCCAAGATATCGCGGAAACACTCGCCAAACTTATTCGACAGCTGAGCTACAAAGCTCTCCGACGTCTGCTGGAACATGTCCAGCTCACGCAAGAGCTCGCGCTTCCGCTGCTGCGACGACTTCGACGATCGCACCGTGGAAAGCAACGCTGACAACTTCTCTGCTGGCATCACCGTCGAGTTAAACCGCAGTAGATCACGGAAGAGCTCTCCGAACACAGAGGCGGCCACCGGCTGCATGCCGAACTCACTCGGGTCAATAGCACCGCCGTTATTGTGTCGCTTGCTAGGCTGGTAACGCTGGATCGCATACGCGGATACTTCCATCACTTGGCCATACAATTCGCTCCGTGAACGTCCAGCATTCTCCACAGTCGCCACCGAAGATGCAGGCGAAGGATTCAGTCGATCAATCGATGCGTTGGCTGCGTCCTGCATAGTCAACATCGCCAAGCGGTTCAGCAAATTCTCCTTCTTCACAAGTGGCTTGGTAACAGGATCCACCGGTGAGGACGGGAGCAGCAACGCGAAGCGCCACAATCCCAGCATCACCATACTCTCTCCGAGACTTCCGCGGTGGCAATTGTGCTGTTCCCTGGCTGCCGTAACCAACGACTTCATCAGTGGCGCTACAAGTGAGTCAACCAACGTCGAGAACGTGCTGTCACTGGAAGTTCGTAGCACCTTGAGCAGATGTGTCAGGGTCTTGTCATCAAATACCTGAGGCTTATCTGCGAGCTGCAGAAGGAGAGTCGGGAGCTCCTCCCAGGTCTGGAATGTTGATTCAAAAGCCAGCACTGTCGCCACGAAGAGCTCCGTCACAAACGAGATACTTGTGCTCGACATCACCGTTCCTGCCTGGGTCTGTTCCGAGGCGAAGTGGCTCTTGATCTTCTCCAACCGAGCAGCCCGCATCTGGGCCTCACTGGTAGGACACATGGACTCTTCCAAATCCACTTCGGCGATGCTTTTCAGCACGACGGCACTCTGGACGGCTTGGAACAAACGCGGGTAGCCTGCAACGACCTGCGAGTGGTCAGCCACTTCAGTACTCACAGCAGGAGCGCGCTTGTTGACCTTCCGCAACTTGCGTCGCGTGTCGAATACTTCCAACGAGATAAGATCCACGTCGTTGAAGCTGTTGCAACGCAGGAGCTGGTGGAACCCAAACAGCACGCCATTCAGATGCGTCTGAACCACAGACGCAAACCTCTCCAGCTCTGCTACTAGCTCGTCTTGGGTTTTGTTGGTAATCTCCAGAGAAACAAACGTGTGTCCACACCACACAATGTCTTGGTACGCATAAAAGCAAGCAGGGTCACGCAGCCCCAGACGCAAAAGTTCTTCGATGATGCCTTCCAGCAACTGCAGGACGTCCGACACAGCACTCAGAACCACTTCGTATCTCGTTGGGGACAAATCGCTTCTGCACAAGCGGTACATGTTCAGCACGTGCACAAGCTTCGTGATCGCCTGAAGCTCTTGACGAGCTAGCGCGTGTTCTAGCAGTGGACTCAGTTGGAACGTCACCATACGCTCCATCAACAGCGCGCTTTCCTTCATGTCGAACAGCAGAACAGGAGCGTCCTTGCCGATACGACTGTCCTCTTCGCTCAGAAGATCCACGTGACTGTCGGCGTTGTCCTCGATCTCACTCAGATACAGCGTCTTCTTCGAGATAAGCTCCGTCATCTCCGACTGCCTGTCCTGCAGCTTCTTCAGCAGCACACTGGGGAGCTTGAACAGCTCCTCTGCCATGCGCGTATGCGGTCGTCTACTGGCAAAAGCTTCTTCAGTTTTTCCACGTGTTTGCTGCTGAGCGAGGTACGAGAACGCACAAAGCGCATGTAGCACTTCCTTGCGAGTGTCCACGTCCACGTAGAACAGCGAAGACACGTCCAGTTTCCCACTCTTCATGGCAGCTTCCATCGAAGCAACTCCGCCAAACAGCAGCGCCAACACGTCAACTCTGCCATCTGTCGGGCCTCCACTTGCACCTACAGAAAGAGCCGAGAAGGACGTCGAACTGACCTGCATAAACGTCTTGGACAGTCGGTTTAACAGATACTCGGCCTTCCATAAGTCAGCGTTGCTCGGGAGAAGCGAGTGGCCTCCCTTCTTCCAGAGCGCGTTCTTCCCCGGGTCGCAGCCGATAAGCTTCTCAATCGTTCCCTGCATACGCTCGGACATGTCCACGACGTTATTCCACTGCGATTCCAACGTAAAAGATTGCTGCTCCATGAGCTTCCCAAGTCGCGACAGCGACTTCTTCAGCCACTGCCAGTGGATGAGGAAGTGCGTCCACTCGAAGACTTGCACTCGCAGCTGGATAGAGAACTCAAATCGGTCCCGGACCACAGCTTGAACGGCCTCAAAGAACTTCGGATCCATCGTCGCATTCGAAGAGTCTTTAACAAGCTCAGACAGGAACTCATCAAACGTGTTCAGAAGCGGATGAACCAGGAAAGTCAGTTCGTTGTCCACATTGGAGCGGTCGGCGTGATACTTGTGCACGGCATAGGACTGCTGCAGCACCGACAACTTATCAATTCGACGCGCATCTCGCTTGTTGCGCTTCTGCTTGCTGCCCTCCGACGAAGCGAAGAGCGCGTCTACTTCGCGAAACTGTTCGTGCTCGCAGAATCGTAGCCACCCTACACCGTCAAGTAGCTCCAGCTGCCGTTGAGCGAGGAGCATTGAGTCCCAAACACTGTCAAGCTCGGCCTTCTTGTCCGGAGTATTGGCGCTGCATTCAGCAACAAGAGACTGCAAGCGCAAATGAGCTGCGTGGTTTGCAGCCAAGTACACCGGTGTTGGAGGCAAGCCAGCTGGGCTATCAAGCAAGCTCGTCAGCATCCGCGTCGCCTCGTCGATCCTGCGAGAAATGTCCGTGTACAACTTGTTCCTCGTCATCGACTGGAGGAAACGTACTAGTAGCTCGACTGACTGACTTGTGCTCGCACTACCCGTAGCTCCACGCGCAACCTTCTCCAGGGCGAATAGAAGACGATCCGCCGTCATTGGGTCGACAGTAGCGACGTTGCCACATGTACTCGCCACCTCAACAATCCGGCGTAACGCGAAAGGAGCAAGTGTCACGGCCAGCGGCGTGTTGACGTCCTGAAGCCCAAAGAACTGCTTGGATGACAGGTGATCACACGCTTCCTTCAAAGCCATCTGGGAATAACTAGTGTCCTCGCCCTTGCACCGCAGCGCAACACTGTTGAGCCAGGCATCGGGATTGCCTCCTCCTTCTTTAAAAGACTCGGTCGTAGCGATCTTCACGTTGGGAGTCAGCCAGCTGAGCTGCAGATCATCCGCGTCATTGTTCTCGGACGTTTGAGCAGAGAGCACGAGGTGTTCAAGGTACGCGACGTCGCGCTGCAACACGAAGCTCTCGCTCTGCTGACACAAGACAAACGTCGAGGGTGCAGCAATCATCGGGAGCACACGCTGGCCCTGCGAGTTCAGCTGCGAAGTCTGGAACGCGCTGACGAATAGCTCGAGTACCTCTTGGCTGAGATCAAGCTGCGCGAGCAATTCGTCGCCATACACACGCTGGAAAGACTCGCCGATCGCGGTCATCGGCTGCACTCCACGCGACAGCTCAGCCGAGGCCAGCAACGACCAGTTTTCCAAGTGTCGACGATTGATGCGACCGTATTTCGAGCCCGCCATAAACTCGCCAAGCTTCTTCACCACACGCTCGTGGGCGGATTGGAAAGCTCGAGACAGAGCAAAGCCTGGAACTCCACACGCCAGCGAGATCTTGATCAGGTCCAGTCTCGGGGCGTCTTCATCCGCAAGCGCAATTTCAACACAGCGGTTTCGCATGGCACGAGAAACCTCGCCGTACTGCGCATCCATCGCCAAGAACATTCGGAAGTTCTTGTGCGGTTTAATCACCCGAAGCTTGCCGTTGATGATGCCGCACTCGTTGATGAGCATCTCTCCGCCAGTCTCCATCAGCGAGTTCAAGCGATCCAGCACCGAGGAGCTGCAGAAGTTGACGTTGTCCAGTAGCACCCACTCGCCCTTCTCCATCGCTTGGATCAACGTCCCGTCGACCCACTCGAAGCAACTCGCAATGGAGTTGGACTTGCTGAGCTTCACCACGCTGTCAATTTCATTCGACAGCTCAGAAAGCAGCGCCAGATTGCCGTCTTTTTCCTTCTGCAGCATGGCCACTACATCTTTCATCAAGTCGACAACAACCTCATCCAGTTGACCCTTCGGTAGTTTCTTCGCTTTGCGCTTCGTCCCGTGTCCACCGTGAGAGGAATTTTCGCTGTAGTATTTCTCTCGAGTGGTGAGAGCCCACCACGTGCTGCTGAGACGGTTGGCCTTCTTCAAAACCGCACTTCTCTTCTTCGCAGTAACCTTGGTCGATGCAGACGACAGCATCAGTTGCTGCAGCACCTTCTCGTAGACAAATTGAATCTTGTGCCTAATGTCGCACAGCTTCCGACCCACATCCACTTGCTCAAAGCAGCCCAGCAGTTCCGTAGCGTCCGTTCCTGCACTCATGCCCAGTTCGTGCAGCGTGTTGCCACTCAACGCAGCCAACAGACGAACCGACGACGTTTTGCCACTTGCTGGGGATCCCACGAGAAGAGCAGGCCACGACATATTTACACAATGAGCCAAGGCTTCCATCGGCTTCAGCAAGAAGTTAAACACTGGCGGAGCAACACGTCCGATGGGCATCTCTTGCTGCCGTTCGAGCACTGCACTGCCAATCTCCACGAAATTTGCCGACATACGAAGCGAAACAGCACTCAGATCCATCGGCCTCACCCCAAAGAACTCCTCGAATCGACGAGAAATGAGCTCCCGGTCGCGAGCCGAGCGCATTCTCTCCACGTAGATGAAGTTGACATAATAACTCAAGGCCTGAAGTCGGTGCTCAGCATTGCCAGCTAGTTGCGCTTGCTGCTTGAGTAGGTCACAGAAGCGGAAGACATCGCGCAGATTAAACTCCCACGGGGCACCAAGACGGCCGTACTTGCAGCTCACCATCGTGTCTTCGTGTACTGCACGATTGAAGCCGATAATTCGCTCCAGTAGCGTTTTCCCCGACAACGCAGAGTCACTCATGTCCATTTCTTCGACTGAACAGTGCAGCGTGGGGTACATCGAGCTTGCGATGTGGATTAGATCCTGTTCGTGTAGAGTTTCAACGAAGACGCGCGTGAATCGATTTAAGAACGACTTGGGCAGTCCCTTACGACCGCCGCCCTGACGAAGCGGGTTCTGCGCAGCAAACACACGGAAAGTTGGCGGACATTCGAATTCTCTGTCCAGCTCCGGGATGTAGACACTGCCTCGGTGATCCAGACACGAGTTCAAACCCTCCAGGACCGATTGTGACGCCAAGTTGAGTTCATCCAGTAGCACCCAGTCACCCGCCTTCAGAGCACGCAAGAACACACCGTCGCACCACTCGAACATGCCACTAGAACCCCCACCATTCGCCTTGTTGCCGTCCTTGTCCTCGTCTGGTGACGAGGCAGCGGGAAGATCCGAGCCGAAGAGATCAGAAATGTCCGTCTGCTCTGACAAGTTGATGCGTACAAGGCGGTGTCCAGATGCTGCCGCCAACGCGCTGATCAGACTGGTCTTGCCCACACCTGGAGACCCTTCCAAGATGATCGGACGGCTGACCTGCATGGCACGCAACACGCGATACAGATTGGACATTGTGGTGGGAGCCTTCAGCGAGAATGCTGGCTTTCTTCGCACAGGGTCCGGTCCGCGAGGGATCAGGAACGGACTAATGCCGAACTTCCCCTCAGCCGTCTTCACTGACGCAAACGAGTTCAGCTGGTCGATGCTGTTCTCAACAGACAGCGTCGTGACATTCAGCGAGTCCACCACCTTTTGCTTGACAAGGACGTCATCGTCTGGCACCAGAGCCAACAAGTAGCTGTACGCCGCCTCTCTAGCCTTCAACGCCGTGTGCAGTGCCTTGTCAGAACCAAGACCCAGACCGTCCAAGATGGACAAGGCAGCACCTTGCACAAACGCTGTCCACGCTGTGACCTTCACGGACAAGTCAACTTCCTGCTTCTTCATGACGGATGTGATGAAGTTGATCCAACTGAGAATGTCACGTAGCGTAACAGCCCCGCACCCTCCAAGACCTCCGTTTGCCTCATTGAAAGTCTTCACGAAACCCAAGATAGGGTCGCACAACGAAGCCAAATCGCCAACTGCTGCTGCTGGAATAGCGCGAGGCAGCGATACAATTCCAGGGGGCCCAACCAGTCTGTCGCGAATGATCGTAGCAATATCCTCCAAGTCAGAGATCGCTGGCACCCAAATCTCGGTGAAACGATTGCGCAGAGCAGGAGACAACTCGCGCTTTCCGAAATCACCTCCAGGGTTCATCGTCGCCATCACACGCCACTTGGAGTGAGCTACAATCTCTTCCACTTGGTCTCCGCCCTTTTCGGCTAGTAGCAGTGTTCGCGACGGCTCCAAGACACTGTTCAGACGTTCCAAGACAGCATCTTCGGCAAGATTCACCTCATCGATCAGAATTAAATCGCCATGCTTCATGGACTCCACCAGAGGACCGTCCGCCCACTCGAAGATGGACTGGAATCGACGCTTCAGCACGTCAATCTGCTCAACAAGTTCCTTTTGCGGTTTCGAGTCACCGTCGACAATACCAGCACGCGCAATCTCGTACTTCGCCAGCAGCACACTTACACCCAACGACTTGGCTTCTGCTCGGCGTTGCGCGATCTCCTGCTCGTCCATACATCCGTCACCCATCGCAAAGAAACGCGCAAGCGCTTCTTCTAGCTCAAGCGCTGTTTTCTCCTTTCCTCGCACGGGACGCAAGCAGCCAAGGAAATCCGACGTCTCCGTGTGCTGGTGGCAGTTCAAAATGTGAATCGGCTGAGAAAAGAGGAGCGAGTACAGCTGACACACCGTAGTCTTGCCGCAACCAGTCTCTCCAACCAGAAGAACCGGCTCCTCGTTCTGCAAACAGCGTCCGACAAGCGCAAAGAGTCTTCGCAGCGACTTGGTCACACTGATCTTTTCTAGGCCTGCTGCATTGCCTGCTGACTTGGCCTTGCCCGAGGCTGTGTCTTCAATAGCCTGCTCCACCATCGCTTGGACACGCTCAAACTGCTCCTTGGTGCCCCACACCATCTCCTGCTCAATCTCGCCGTTCTCGTCCAGCAGATTCGACTCTCGTGGCTTGCCGCTGTAGTACAGAGCGTCCAAATCGATCTTGACATTACACTTCTTCTCCAGCACTTGCTTCACCACCTCCTTCTCTTCGTCCTTCCGCAACCGCTCGGCCAGCAAACAGTATCCTTCCTCCGCGAGAGCCTGCTTCGTCGCCGGTCGACGTTCCGCCCATCGAAGCAGGTCACGAGTTGTGATGAAGCCCGACTTTCCCGCGAAAACTGACGACTGCTGTCGAACGAGCTGCAGTTGCCGCATGATGTCGATCAAGATGCCACAATACGACGGAGGCAGCGAGCTGCGTTCCTGTAGAATCGTCTGAAGCTCGCTAGAGGCCACTTCATCGACTTGAACCTCCAGAAATCGATTCCGGAATGCACGCGACAGCACCTTTCGTCCACCGTAGAGACCAGGAGGGTTCTGCGTCGCGAACAGCATGAACTTCGGATGGGGCTTCACTGTCTCCTGCGTCTCTGGCAGGAACAGCTCGCGATTGTCGTCCAGCAGTCGATTAAGAGCCTCCAAGACCTCAGACGGAGCCAGATTCAGCTCGTCCAGGATGATCCACCAGCCCTTACGCACAGCCTCCACCAATACACCTTCCTTGAAGGTCAACTTGCCATTGGAATCCGAAACGTAGCTTCCTAGATACTCCTGGATGTCCGTGTGCTCGTGGTTGTTGATACGCACGCACTTCTGGCCGATACGAGCAGCCAGGTACCCAATCAACGACGTCTTACCAGCCGATGTAGGTCCCTGCAACAGCACGGGGTACTTGCCAATCAGAGCTGCACGTGACACATGACGCAGATTCTCTTCCACTGACTTTGTAAGCACAAACTCCCTCCGAGAAGTCACGGGATCCGGCAGTGAATCGTCCCTCGGGTCTTGGAAGTCGCCTCTTTGGACCCAGTAGGAGCTCACCAGCACAAACTCGTTTGTCTTCTTCGAGCCACCAGGGCAGGGTGGAGAGCGTTTAAGCTCCTTCGCCTTGATCGTCTTGGCGAAAGTGTTCTTGATGAGTTTCTCGAGATATTGACGCGATTCCATCTCAAGCTGCGTACAGAAACTTGAGCAAAAGCCTTCGAACATTGCGCGAGAGGTTCCATAGCCTCGCTGAATCAAAATGCGCGTGATATGCAGCGCCTGGCTCAACGTACGCAGAGAGTAGCGAGGCTTGTGCCGCGCACCATCACTCAATCGCAGCTCCGCTTGCTTCCTAGCCTCCAGGTAAAACTCGACAGTCTCCGGTACTAGAGCGCCAGAGATTTCCCTGAACTGATGGTGGACCACCATCTGCAAGTCTGAAGGATCCACGCACTCGTCCACGTAAATCTCCGTGAATCTGTTGCGAAGAGAAGGCGGTAGGTCCTTCTTACCGACGTCTGTGGACGGGTTCATCGCGCCAAAGAGACGGAAATTCGGATGCGGACGGATGATCTCGACATCTCCGCGCTCCGTGAGAGAAAACGCGCTTGTCTCGTGCTCCAGCAACGTACTAATTCGCTCCAACGTATCGGATGATGCCAGGTTAATTTCATCGAGCAGCACCCAGTGACCTTCTCGCAGCGCTTTGACGAGAACGCCCTCCACGAATGAGAAGGCAAAGTGCGACTCAGCTTGCTCCTTCTGCCGCTCAAACCGCACCAGCTCAGCCTCAAATGTATCCCATCGGTTCACTAAAACACTCGTCGACGCTCCAGCTGCCGACATCTTATTACTTTTAGACTCCTCTACGTCCCGATCAGCTCCACTGCTGCTTTGAAGCTTAGATGCAGCCATTTGGATAGCTTTCCGCATACCCTTGACAAGCTTCTTCCAGTCCTTGTGCTCCAGTGCTATCCGAACGACATTGAGAAAGCCAGCGTTGCTCTTTTGAGAGAACGTAGCTGTAAACAGCTCCACAAAATCCATGTACAATGGGCGGGCGAGCAGGTGAATTTCCACAGGCTTGAAGCCTCCCACGAGATCGGAACTATCACTTTGGATATTCAAGTTTTGGACTACCAGACGCTGCCCCATCGCCGCTGCCATGTGCTGAATGATGGTAGTTTTACCGCAACCAGTCTCACCGATAAGCAATGCTGGCTCACAGGTCGCCACAATGGCAGCCATTTTCTCCAGCAAACGAAGCACGTGGCCAGTCATCACCACAGAGCTAGTAGCGGGCTTGTCGCCTTGCTCCAGCTGAGCCTGTTGCGACAGTGTCGGCAGATGCACACGACCAAACTCCACTTCGTGAGTGTTGAATGCCACGTGAGGCTTGTGCTGCTCGAGGTAATACTCGATTTTCTCGGACTGCACTTCCCAAATCGCAGCCAACGCACAAGCCGAGTGCAAGCGCGTCTGCGCGTCCCGAATCCCTGCACAGAAGACATCCAGTGCCTCCACCACAATGCGCATACGTTCGTCCTCGGTAATATAATCGTGACGTGATGATGCCTTGTCACTGATGGCGCCCGCAGCGTAGTAGCAGAATCGATAAATGCGCTTGCACCACTTCAGCAAGTCACGCAGACAGAAATCGCGTCCGTAGTTCCGTCGTGTCTCCTTCCAGAGCTGTGCAGATCCGCCGATCTCTTCGCTCGTGTTGCCAGAAACTGCGTTATACGTGGTCATCATCTTGGACACGACTTGTTGCGGGATTTTCGCGAACCGGGTCAACATGATCTGCTCGATCTCGGTATCTGCCAGTGGCGCAACGCTGACACTCGTCCAAACAGACTCCTGGAAGCCCTTGGGCATTTGGTGTCCGTGTGTCGTCGTACCAAAAATCTGGAAGTTCGAGTGGGCCACCAGCAGTTCGCCACGACCAGGGAGCACCATTTCGCGCGTCTCAAGCAGCGGCATGAGCGCAGCCAGCACCTCGAACGGTGCACGATCAATATCCTCGACAACAACCCACCGGCCTGCAAGCACGGCGGTTGTCAGCGCGCCAGGTTGCCACGTGAACTCGCCAGGTACATCAGTGCACACGTACGACCCCAACAACGTCTTGCTATCGATCTGGTCGTCCAGATGCAGCTCCACCATGTCGCCGTTGCCAGAGAGCCGAGCCAGTTCTCGAATCGTAGCCGTCTTGCCGCATCCGCCGGGACCTGCCACGAGAATCGGACGCTTCAGACCAAGCGCAATAGCGAGCGACTGCAAGTTCCGCTTGGTCGACGGAGTGGGCACCAGTGGCTCGACGGTCATGGAAGATTCCTCGGATTCGTGACGTTGCTGGTGCAATTTGCTAGTCGGGATGACTACGCCGAAAATGTTCTGCAGCGAGTCATGAAAAGGCACTGGCTGTGTCTCTGCAACTTCATTGCCATCCTGTTGCTGGTGCACACTCAGTTCGATGAGCTGTTCCTGTCGAGTCGCGTCCTCGCTGTGCAGCTCTAGTTCAATCTGTCGCACAGTCGAGCTGCTCCCACTCACAGCCGCGTCCTCACCAACACTCAAGCCAGCGAGAAAAGCGCTCCTCTGGGCGTTGCTCATCTTCAACACCAGCGCTGTAGCACGCGCCGCATACCACCGCACGTGCACATCGTCGTGGAAGCTGAGCGGGAAGAAGGGCGTCCAGTTCCAGAGTGCCGTCAGCTCGGTTGGTCTCGCTCTCAGCAGCTGGAAGGCCGTCTTGGCGATACGACGCAGTCTGTCGAGCGTCTCGTCGCTCTGTTGCTTCTGCGTGGCCACGACGTCTGCGAATGCGAAGAAGCTCGGCGCCATCTCAAAGTATTGCTGCACCAAAGTGCTCGTGGCCGGCAGAAAGACCAGCAATTCGGCTAGAGTCGCCGCCAGGAGCTCACTGCGCCTCAAGCTGTCTACGCACTCGCTGTACTGCTGTTGCTGCTGCTCATACAGTGGCAGTGCTGGGTCCGTGAGCCGAACCATCAGGTCCAGCAGGAATGGACGCAGATGCTTGACGATGAGCGCACGCAGCTCAGAATGCGCGAGACACGAGGCCAGCGCCTGCAACTGTGTGCGAGCCAAAGAGTGATAATCATGCTCTTCAACTGTAGAGAAAGTTGTCACCAGCACTTGAAGAGCAGGATGCGCGTCATTGGCGGGGCTTACCACTGCCAAAAGCTGCTGCAGCCCGGCGCGCAGGCGACCGACACTCACCAAATGCTGCTCCTGCGTGACGTTGGCGCTCGTGGCGTCTGCTTCGCGTTGCACATCATTTCCGTCCACGTCAGCCATTCGAGTGTGTAGGTGCAGGATGAGTGAATGTCACTTTGTCTGCTGCTACCGTGAAGCGGTGTGGACACCAGCGTGGATTGAAGCGACACAAGCAATTGACTCTCGGAGACCAATCAAAACTTGCGTGGTGTTCTGCACATACATTGCGTATACATGTATACAAACACAATATGGGTACATGTAATATTTTATGTTTTGTTTTGTTTTATTAGCGATTTATAATTGACCCACTTTTAGCGTCTAGTGGGTCAATGCCGGTGGAGATGCTCTTAAACCTTTACCGAAATCGATGCATGTACTAGCGTTATTTAAGTACGGTAAATGAAAGTAGCTCTGAAATAGTAGCTATGTAAGCCATTACATGCATTGCCACCTACCTCATCTCTACAAACACAGAAAATGAGATCATATTGTTTTATTCCAGTCAAGTTTATCAAAGATATACAATTTTATATCGCAACCATTTTTCGCACACAAAATACAGGGGTCTTGTCGGTACCTAATTACACTTAAGCCAGAATTACTTGACACTTATAAACTGTTATTTACTACTGTATAGTTTAGAACCGGATCGTCACAGCCTTAAGCTTGAATTACTCTTTCGCGTCTGTCAATTCAGCAACTGGGTACATGTACTGCAATCAATGATCAGTTAATCAATATTTCTTATTTTAAAGCCGATTGCACTCTGCTAAATATGTTTTCAGCCGCAATCTGCTAGTTACTTGTTCCTTCAGTAAATGACAGGAATTCAGATGAAGAGAAATGCTTAACACTGGTTTGCTCCACTCATTTCGATAAGAATAACTGGGCGGTTGTAAAATAGATGCACACAGGTTGTGCGCAAAGTATTCACGTTTACACCTTAATTTACAGATTTTCTCAATAATTCTGCCTGCCGCTTGCCATACATATTGATTATTACTCCGTATTACCTATGGAAATCCGTGACACCACTCCCTTTTAGTTTCGCTACAACTTGTGGTGGATAAAGCCCCTTATAAACCCATTTCTGAGGCCATAATGGGAGCATCATCTTTATCATTGTGATATCGACAGTTTGGGAATAAACAACTATTTCGAAGTATTACTTTCTCTTAGACTAATTTTCTTTTTTTCCGAAACGGTCAGTGACTTGGGATTTGTATGTTTTGTTTTCGGATTGACGTCAACATGGAGGACTTGTAGGGCGATTTGGACACGCCCACCAACGCGCTGGAGAAGAAGGGGGCGCTGGATCGCAAGCACGAAAGTTGAGAAGAAGAACAAGCGACTGCGAGACGAATTGGCGCAGCTACAGGTAAGAGCGCAATCGACAGCTTGACGCCGATAAACAATTGGAGAGCAACATCTCGCAAGCGCGCAACTGAAGCTTGAGCGAAGCACAATGAGATTAAACGGCTACGTACTGGTAGTCAATTCGAAACAAGCACTTATAACAAGGGTTAAGATATATATTAATGAGAATATCTACTCCACTTCTTTCTTCGTTTCTTCTTGTGGTTGTCTCGATTCTTGCATAATTGCATAAAAAATGGCCGCGTGTTTGTGTTCGCCATCGGTTTGGAGCTGCCGTCGAATGCCTATCGCATCAACTGCTGGCTGATTGCTCGTACGAACTCATCTCCGTCTCTCAGGGTTTCGCCTCTGTGCCTCCATCGCTCCGCATTATTTCTTCCCTTACTTTTTGCACTCCGATCTGTTTCTACTTCGAAGTATTAATTAATCCTAGCGAGGAGACGCAAGCCACCATGGCTGCACCACCAAGCTGTCGGTCGGGAAAAGGAGTACAAGTACAGCGCAATGGGCACGCGCGGCAACTATCTTGACATGTACGTGGATATGTAACTTCTCGGTTGAGGTGGCTACGCATCGTTTAGCGACGCGTTGGTCGGTCCCACGGCAACTTTCTCCGGTTCTGCCACCGAACTCCCTGCCGGGTTCTCCCCATCAGCGTTTTTCAGTTGCTGCAACAATGTGTCAAGGCAGCTGACGGCGTAACCGTCCAGAAGCGACGTCTCAAAACCCTCGAGCTTCTTCATTTGTGCCTGCTAACATCAAAAGACACGCCATTAGACCACAAGGTACAGTTCAGAACACCAATGCGTTCAAGACAAAGACCACAGGGTGCGTTGGCAGTATCTAATTACCGTCACTGAAGCTGTAGGGGTCTGATTCCGGCAGCAAAGGGAGATCTTTATCCAGTTAGGTATATCAAACGATTAATTTAGTGAATCGATCCTGCTTGAGCAGCATTCCACATTTTATTATAAAGCACAAAGTATTTGTACTTGGGATCCCCGCTCGCGGAAGCAAACGTCCCAGTAAAGCCCATCTTCTTGAAAACTTGCGGTGGTGTGAGCTCTTTCTTCAGCCAGTAATACAATTTATCAATCATAATATCCTCTGCTGACTTTGCAGGTCTTTTTGCCTGCGAGACTCGCACTTGGAGATTACTCCACATTTTGGAATATTGCTCGAAGTACTTGTAGTCGGGATGGTCACGCGACGACTCAAACGATCCTGTTAGGCCCAGCTTCTTAAATACTTGAGGGGGAGTAAGTTGCTTCTCCAGCCACGTATCCAGTCGTGTCTTCATGGCTTCATCAGACTCCTTTACGAGTCTAACTTGCAGATTACTCCACATCTTGGAATAGTCCTTGAAGAACTTGAACTGGGGATCACCACGTGCCGATGCAAACGTCCCAGTAAAGCCCATTTCCTTAAAAACTTGCGGTGGTGAGAGTTTTTTCTCCAACCAATCACGTAACCGCGCCTGCATAATTCCATCAGCAACCCTTGTGGGCAGATTTGGCGGCTGTCTTCCAGGATACTTAACATAGTATCTGAAGAAGTACTTGGAATAATACTTGTGATTTTTGTCGGCGGTATTCGTCACCTTAAGTTTTTTTAAAACTTCTTCCGGTGTTTTCCCACGGAAAAGCCAAAACTTCATCTTGACTCGAATCTTCACAGCGTTCCAGAACCACATAAATGCTTCCCTCACTGCCATTCTCTCCTCGTCATTACGTGAAGCTGTAGCCAGTTGCCTAGAGGGATTGTTTTCACTCCGCAGGAACTTATTGGAATCGGAGAGGACTCCGCGCCGGACCTCTCGAGCTCTAGGACCCGTAGCACAGTCACACGCTACGAACACAACGACAAGCGATACGAAAACTAGCAGACAGCTCAGCCGCACCGCCATGGCGGTCCTTGAACTTGTGAGCGGTCCTGGAGTTTGAGAAATGACCACCAAGGATGGATGGTTCTCATATTGCGACTGGTTGAAATGTCTTAATGTCGGCTTTTTAACCGTGTTTATTTAGACCTGCTGTTCGATGGGCAAAGATGTGCAGTGGAGACTCTCTGGAGAGCGGCGAAATCCATGACATCACTATCTCACCGCTGCACACGCAGTACGTCCATGGTATCTACATGTGCTTCAAAGTTGAAAAAAACTCTACCGTAATTGAGAAACATCGACATGTCCTAAGTACTTTACATGCCACACAAATGTGTTACTTGGTATCGTTGAAGTACATACTGTAACGTTAGCTCCTTCAGGCTCGAAGCTGACTTACACATTAGTTTTACGTGTATTAGTTCATGTATGTTTACAGTACGCTTGAAGTTCGTGGAAAACACTTGGCTCACAAGTTGTGAAGTACCCATGGCTGCCCATTGGCAAGGGTTAACCTGCCAAATAAAGTAAACATGAAAAACTGTATTCGAAGCGAGCTCTTGGTCGGTATTTATACTAACACAGTACATGTACTTCGAAGTATATAATAAGCTGTATTAATACTGTATGACAATTTAAACGAGTAGACCCTCACCGAGTTACCACATTGTAACTTTAGAGAGACCTTTCAGAAAAGAAAACAAGTAGTTCTGCACAGTTTAATGTAACCACCTCTGCACTTTTAGCTAAGATAAATTATCTAAATTAAGCTTCGTCCAGTCATGCCATACACACACTCTCTTCTATAAATTAGTCGAGAAATCGGCGTAAGTGGTGGCCAATGCAAGTAGAAATACATCCTACCAAGCTATTAAACAGGCCACCAAATGCTTCTGTTAAGCAAAAGCGTCGAGATCTAAGATCACTTTATACGCGATAGGACTTACGTCGCCGACGAGTAAGACTCGTTGTGGTAACAAAAGATGCAGACACCATTACTTTTTTTCACTTGATGAGGGTACATGTACAGTATTACAAGTACTTGATGTGTCTGGAGTATTATTATACAAGTACTCGTGAATATCCGTTGTCAACGGACCGTTAATACTTCAGTAGTGCACTCAGTACATGTACACCACTGAAGTATTACCGGTTCACTGGAGCGCATTGAGTTGTTTTCGTTTTTCTGGATAGTGGGTGTTGTCTGGTCCGATTAGCAGATCAGAATTACAATCCACGGCGATTGCGGACCGCAATTTGCGGTACTGTACATGCACTGCTCGGTAATACTCGTTCTGTCCTTGTACCGGTACTGTAGAGTATAATTATCTGTGCCGGTACTATTAGTATGAAGATCACAGATGCTGATAATAACATAAATAATTGTAAGCTACAGACTTGGAGCACGCGAGTGCAGTGATTCTTCATCCTCCCCTCTCACTTGCAACACGGAAATGTAACTACACGCAGAGGCGTCAGCTTAGGAATAGCTCGTACCGTGCAGCAGCCCAAATCGACGGCCTTTCTGGTTTGTCTAATTCTTCTCGCAGTTCTTTGTCGTTCTACCAAAGTCTATCAGTAGGCCCCTGCAAATTTTAATTAAAGAGTCGGGAAGATTAAGATGTCGGCCGGAACAGAAACACGAGCAATAAAATTGATCTCACCAGGATAACTGATTCTGTGTTCTGTTTTGTCATATGATACATCTTAAAAGTACTACGAAATGCAGTCATATAATACATCTTAAAAGTACTACGAGGTGCAGTGCACTTCTAGCTTATTGTGCATTTCTGCCAAAACGCCCTCAGTTTTATGGAGGACTAGCGCTCTGGGCGCCCGCTCCGCGGACGCTAGGGCATAATTGGTTGGTGTAGTGCGGGCTGACCACCTCCGCTGCGCTGCGGTGTGCTTAGCGTTTCTACGTACAGCAAAGTAACATATAGTACATGTATACTGTGTTCTACTTATATTACGCTCCAAAACAACACCGCACACAGTATCCTTAGTGCTCACATGTTATGGTAGATATGACCAGGGTTTAACATGATCTACAAGATGAGCACCATCTTACCTGGGAAGGTTCTGTCTGTAATCTCATTTTAGCGCATAGCTTCCAAAATAACACGAATTGGAGGCGCGCGTGGTTGCAAAGCTAATATATGCTGTACGGAAGACGGGTCAGTATCAATGATGCTACGAAGTATGCGTAGATCGTTGAGGAATCCCAGTTTAGCTGGAGTAAATACGCCTTCTCACACATATTACCCATCTGCACGTCATCGCCGTGAGGCAGTCGACACATATCATCGATTGCGACGGTCGAATAGAGAAATGTTAATCAGCTCCTCGCGCGAAGTATCTTTTAAGATAGGTAGTATTTGCCGATGGTCGCCACAAATCTCAATATTATGCTTTGAAATTATTCTGCTGAGCTGTTTGTGATGTTATTGAAGGGTATTTCCACTATCTTCCGCATGCATTGATCTTACTTGCATAGATGACGTACTTTCTGACTTATTTGCATAGCTACTGACTGACAGAGTGGCGTAAATCCTTTCCAGCTGACATTATACTGGGTCCGATATGTACGACAAACATACGAAGAAATATGGCTGTAGGCAGAGTATCAGATCGCAGTGATGGCTAGACTTGAATTGAATAATAGTTCATGTACATTAGATGGAGTACTTTCGCTGCCTACTTATCAGCTCGCCGTGCTATTTGATGTGTCCGTGCATATATCGCAAGGTCGTTAATGAGTGTATTTGCCACGCGCTCGTGAAAGCCCAACCTATGTATGGGGTCACTGTTTCTTTATCGGGACTTTTGCGTCGTCGTGCTAGCTTTCTGTGCTTACGCTATTGATGTATCAGTCTGTATAATCAAGCAGGTCACTAACTGGGCACAGACCATTCCGCAGCGATACAGGTATGCTGAACGCGCATCTGTTAGCAGTAGCCAACGCGATATATACGCGCGAGGCGGGTACACCTTATAGTCATCCGCGACTCAACCGAGCTCTCATCTCGGCAATTATGAACAGGACACTAAAGTACAATATTGCATTCAGACACATCGCCTTGCCACGTTCATCTGTACGGTATGCACTGCCACGCAGTGGTAGTATCTATGTAAACAGCAACTTATTCGTCGCACGTAGTTCCCACTCAATACTGTGGTTTAAATTGTGAGCGCCAATTAGTGCAATATACGCTATAAGAGCTGATGGTACAGATAGCATGGTTTTGCGTGTGCCCACGTGAGCGAGTGTACGTGCCATCTACGGTGATGCGTATGCGGATAGGAACCACCAAATTGCAGCGGTGCACAGTTGATTCCCATGTTCTAATTATTTATGAAGCGCGCTACGCTCTGTAGGTGCGTCAACACCATTGTCAGCTTACCGTATGTGCGGCCCCAAGCCTCGCACCGTAGGCCAGTATACCAAAACAAAAATAGGTAGGAAAATGGGGGCATAAAGGGTATATTTACCATTACTCGCTCTTCTGCTGCTTCTTTTGCTCGATGTACTTGGCGTTTCGGGCGGTCAGCTTGCGAGGGCTGCTGCGCCTCTTTTTCTTCTTGGGGTACCAGTCTCTCCTTCTTGACGTTTGACAGGCTTCCCTGGCGGCGGACTTCGGCCGACTCAGGTGGTGGGGGCTTTTCCTCCCAGAACTTAACCGCTTTTGGGCCGTTCTCGCAGGCAGTACAGCGCCGCACGATGTCCCGCCCGCTGATTGTACGGAATGCGTAGCCGTACTGCAGCTTCCCGCAGCAGACGCAGCGCTCTCGGGGGTCCGTCGTAGACCGCTGCGGGTTCAGCAGAAGTGGGTCAATCTTCGCCTCGCATTGCTTGCACGTAGGGCCCACAACTGTGAGTAAGTTAGCAACATATATTATTTTAACCAATTACTTGCGTCCAAATATTAGCCAATGGCACGAATAAAAAACGCGGATATTTATTATTTAAAACAAAATATTAAAAAGTTGATATTTAATATTTTAGCTTTGCTATAGCAATATTTTTATCATATTTCCAAACAAATACATACTTTACATGCAATAAAAGAGACTAAAATAAAAGACTATGTACCGTGCGCGCATGCATTCGTCGGGTGGGGTGCACGGGAGCAGATAGCGCAATGACCGTGCAGCCGCGCGCCTTCATTGCACGGTGGCAGTGGTGAGTGTCAGTGAAGTAAAAAAGATATATATTCGCAAAGTCCCTACAAAAAGCGCTGGTCGTGAAGCCTGCTTTAATATTAAAAAATACTATCGTCTCTTCCTTAGAAAATGTGTGGAAAATAGCATCGCCGAGCTCTTACAAATGCGGTCTGTGAAGCTTATTCTAAGAATCCTATTAATTTCGGGTTTACTTCGAAAAGTGTGTGGAAAATAACATCTTAGAGCTCTTACAAAATACTGGTCTGTGAAGTCTACATTGATAATAATAAATATCTCTATTTGAGAAGTGTGCAGAGCTCTTAGAAAATAAAGTGGTTACTGTGCCCGATTTGCAGTACATACGACAGGTTTTGCGGAGCTAAATGTCAATAACCAATCACCTGCGCAGCTCCCCTGGCTGTTTGCAGCCAATCGATGTGTTACGTTCTCAGCAGAAATGTTTACCTTACGTCCAATCGCGAAGGGCGAGAGGCGGTCTGATCGTGCGACAGATCCAGTCAGTGTCGCAGGTCGGTCGGTATTGCCCAATCAAGGCGCGAGTTAATTGCGTCACGCATTTGGATATATTTGTAATTTTTGCATAGTTAGGTCGAGTCAGAAAGGTAGGCGCGGTCGGTAAGATGGGGAGGAAACTGTATTAGACAGGCCAAGTGTAGCCATGCGAAAAGGCAGGCAAAAGCAGTAAGAGAGGAAACGGACGGACTTATTGACAGACGGACGGACGGACGGACAGACACGCTACAAGGTTAGAAGCGGAGAGACTAGCGCTCTGGACGCCCGCTCCGCGGACGCTAGGGCATGGCTGGTTGGTGTAGAGAGGGTTGACCACCTCCGCTGCG